TGGAAATAAAAACGGAATGAACTGGAAATGAACTTCGGATTAAATGTCGCAACGAAAATTATAATACCGTAATTCCACGGCTTGATTTGTCATTTGCAGTTATTGTGAGCGAATTACGGCTCCAAATTCTGCAGCAACGTTTCATCGTTGCCATGGAAATTGCTTTGACGACGGTTTATTGGTTTCGCAACTAGATGTAACATAATTAAGCGGCAGCGCACATGACATGCCGATTCCGTGTTGCTGCATGTCGCGCCGAAACGAGCTGCAACTTCAAACAATGCGTACAGAACGAATAGTTACTTTGGTGGAAAAGAGAGTATCACTCTCAACTCTTAATTTTATTTCCTACGCATTGCGATAGTACGAATGAGAGCAGAAATAGAAGATAATTCGCGAAGAAAATAAGATAGTCACCATTGTCGTCACGTCCCTCGCTTTTCTGCGGGATCTTTCAAAACGTCGGATCATGAAATTAAAGCAATTGCTACCTTCTATTCATAGGAACCATTACGTCAAATTGATAAATGCACGCGAGCACCGACGACAATTGACGCATTAAAGAAGACGAGACGCGATGTCAACGACCTGTAGATAATCATATATAGATAAAGATGACGTCAGAAATAGAAATCATGTAAACGATATGACCAATTTTTTGTAGTACTCTATGTATAATTTTTTTTTTGCGTTGAGAAAAACAGATAATTTTAACAAGCATTATCAATTAATAAAAATTCAATGTTGAAAACAAATGTTGAATATTTGAATTTACAAAAAATACATATTTATAGAACTTTCATAAAAATCGTTATTTTAATAACTCCCTATTAATAATTTCTAAAATTAATGATATCCTCATTAAATCTTCAGTCACATTGAGCGATGTATATATATCTCCAATTTTGTATACAACACACGTCGGAATGTCAAAACGGAATTAATTAGGAGCTAATTAATGTCATTAGTGGAATAAACTGTATGCTAACCCTTTACGGCAAAGGGCTCTTACATGCTATGGGCTTTAAGACTAAGTTAAGCGAGCTGAATACCACGCTCCAATACGCAATTAATAGTCACTTATCATGAAGGAAAAAAATAACGTTTATAGAAATAAAATGAAGAACGTAATAAACTAATTTTGAATAAATTTAATTGTAGTGGCAATATAAATAATTTAATATTGTAGAAATAAATGCTAAACAGGAAAAATCCATACTATTGAAAAAATTTCGTCTTGGAACGAAAACAAGTGATGCAATTTTAATAATCGGAAACATAAAACAGATAATATTGGTCGCAGATATGGAACATTTGTCGTTCATCTTCGTAAATGTATTATCAGCGAGATTGCGCAGATTGTGAGACGAAGGAAAACAAATGAGATTGAAGATTCAATTCGGGCTTAATGGAGCTATATGAAGCGTGTACGAGTTATTCGCAGTCGCTTGACCAAGGAACAATATTCATTGACCCGGTCAAGATTCTCGTTAATTTTCAACCCCTCCTTTTGCCCCTCGCATCCCACGCGTTCTATTTTTCACAAAAAAACCTCGAATGTTTCTGCAACATGACGTGGAGATTGGTTGTGGTGTCAGAAATTTAGGTCACATCGTATTCGGTTTCGAGAAATAGCGGCCAAATTGCGCTATGCGGCAGCTACTATCGCTTTTCCGGATAAAGTGAAACTTCGTTTATTCTCGATACCCAGTACCGGTTCCCCAATACCTGGGGAACTACTATAAAGTAGAACGCGTTCGATAATATCCCTTGGAAATTGACCGGCAAGGATGTGAGATAGTTATAGAAGAAAGGATCTGATATTTCCGAGTGATTCGATAAAAGTGTCGAAACAGGACAATAAAATTTCTTATAGAAAAGCGAAAGAAATAAGAAGTAAGAAATATAATCTATATATTGCAACGTTATCCTTGGAATGTTATAAAGAGTAAAAATAGTAACATGATACCTCTATACATATATGCGTGACAAAAATACGTTCGTAATCAATATAATGCAAAATGATCTTTATAGTTAATATCTTCAAAATCAAGCGTCATGCATTTACATAATCCACTATGCAGTTTCTTTCCGCAATACCTATTCTTGCTCGCATTCAAGAATGCCGAGCATGATATCGCGAGCATGATATTGCACGCATGACAAATGGATCGCGTGTCAGTTATACAAGTAAGATCTTGCAGAGATCTGAAGAAAATGATAAAAATGACCGAATGACGATACATCATCGTTTCATATTTAAGTTCTCGATGATCGATAGTTATTTCGTGTTCGATGACGCGGAGAACGTATAGGATAGCATAAAGATGACAGACGAATCAATAAGCAATAAATCACGTCAGAAAGATTTTTTTATGTTCAATTAAAGTTAAAAATTATAGAGAGATATCGAATTATTCGTAAGAGAGATCTTTATCATTTAATTACAAAATTGTAATATTTTCTTTCCAAAGAACCTAATGACAAATATTTCCATGACAAATAATTCACCTCCTACATGAAGTTTTTCAAACTACGTTTTTCTTTTTGCTATCTTTTAGCCAAGTCACTTTATTTCTTATATAGTGTGCACACTTAATAATTTTTACATTATATACACATATGCAAAGAATAATATCGTCATAAAAATATTTTTTCTGAAATAAAAAATCAATACTTTCTGCAAAACTATTTTTTTAAAGTATCACGATTTTTGTACCTAAATAAAACCATCGTGTGCAATTTGTTTGTAGAAAATTATGTATTAGTTTACACTTACCTGATTTATTACAGAAATGTGGTAATTGCATTTCAGAGAACACATTTTAATCACTTTAATAAAGATTGTAAAGATTACGAGATTTTATCAGAAAAAAATAGGTGTCGTAGTGCTTTTCCTGTGTTAAAAATAGATTAACGAAACAAGAATATTAGTTTCACACATCACATTTTCCAGGACGCATTATTTCTAATTCTGCGATGCTGCAACGATCGTGATTGAACGATATTTATGAATGGCAGCATATTTTTGCTTTATTTCGTACATCGAAAAAAATCACATATATAAGTATATAGCAGATAATCATACGCGCTCGATGCCCCACGTTTATATGATAATTTGAACTGATTTCCTCCTTACTTAATGCAAACGTGTGCATCAGCAGACGCGACTCATAATCTTATCTAAACTGAGATAATATTTATTAAGTACCGTGATGTCACGTAAAAAAATTCAATATTATGATCCATAAATTATCGCATTATATAATATTATATCCGATAATAACATAGATCACAAGAGCCCGATCTCTCTTAAAATATAGATCGCGATAAACATGTTTATTAGTAGCCATAACATAAATTGCAGTGCAAAATGAGTTTCGTGTTAATGTGTGCAACGCGCAGCACGTTGCGTCAGCAATTCTCGAGCGTGAAATGCGATTCGAGTGTCATTACTGAAATACATTGCAATTAATAGCAACAAAGAATTATTATTATAATAACCGACATCAATAATAATTTAGATAATTAATTAAAATTCTTTATATATCATTGAAAACTACATTTACTTTATTACCATTTTTTAAAGCTCAAAAATATATTCATTATTTGAGAACGTTCCAATTTCATTGAACGGCATTAATCTATACAATTGCTAATTACAACACTATTTAGAACCGCGCGAATAATTTGATCATTGGCGCCACCTGTCAATCGATTAAAACAACCGATATATTCTTTCCTCTAATCCTATATTGATAAAATAAAAAAATTTAATTTCTTACAAAATAAAATTAATTAATTGAGAAATTAAAAATAACATAATAATATTTTTTTTATTAATATTCACAATTATAATAAATATACTTTAAAAATTGTAGAAAATAAAAAATTAAAAATTAGATAATTTAAATATTAATTATAATTTTCTTATGATTCTTTTTTTATATAAATACAAATAAAAATTTTTCAAAAATAACATACAAATTTTTTTCATCTCTGTAGGACTATACATGCATCAACTCGATCGGCAATGTAGTTTTCTTCATAGACAATCGCAAAAAATACATTTCAGCAAACAATACCAATATTTATAAATAATTAAAATACATTAAGGGTCACCGGGGGCAATTGAGCGTAAGACCGATTTGATACCCGGTATATATGCGCTAATCATCTGCACGGTCGACTCGTTACCGACCATTGCAATCAGCTGAAGAAATCATTGACGCTACGAGCGCTAATGCGGTGGCCCAGATTTCGCAGTAACATCAACCAATTCGTTTTTCACGTCCCACTTTTTGTCGGAGCCGATCGCGAGTATAATAAACTAACCGTGCCGATCTCTAATAAAAAAAAAATAAATGCAGAAAAACCACATTTTAGTAAGAATTACCGCAGATTTATTATCCATATCAATAATTATTACGTTCATCGAAACTTCATTTATCGATTTTAATCAAGAAAAGTGTTTATGACATTGTAGTAAATCAAAATAGATAGCGTAGTTAAAAATAAAATATTTCTAAATAAATTACATTATAATAATAATAATAATCACAAAATTATATATATATATATTATACGTGATTTTTATCTTTGCAAATAAGAGTGATTGTATTCTGAATAGTTTTCACCATCGCTTCACCATCTAATAAGATGTTCACTCTTATTTGTCTTAAAGTACATGCTACTTAGACGAACGTGATATCAAGTTAAAAATCATATTTTCGCACAAGATAACCGTAATGTTGAATCAATGACGAATTAAGTGGTTTACTGCATCAAAACCGTATCAAAATTCCCATTAAAATCACACAAATATTAATTATAATAATACTATCGCAATTCGAATCTTCGTCTCTTTTCAAAAATATAATCGGATACAAAAGAATAAGTTATGTCTCGGTTAACGTTATCAAACACTCATTAGACCGGCCGTAAACACAAGCTGGCATACTAATCTACAAAAGCAATTGATGACATGCAAAGATACTTACCTCCGAGAGAGGGACGAAGGCACTAGGTCCATCGAAGGCGGGAACCGGTACTGGAAGTCCTCTCTCCTGCAAAAAAAAAACAAATTTTTAATTTTATTATTTGTGCGTCTAATTTCAAACAAATTTTCAATCTTGGATACGTTCAGTTATTCGCGAGTATTGAAAATCTAATAGTTTGCGTATACTATAGATTTTTAATACTGGCAGTGTATATCGGAACATAACATTAATCATCTGTGCATCTAATTTCACTCGACAAAAAGATGCAAGAGAAGTGCTCTACTAACAGCCCGGCTAGCTCAGTCGGTAGAGCATGAGACTCTTAATCTCAGGGTCGTGGGTTCGAGCCCCACGTTGGGCGAATTTTTTGTATAGCTTTGTCTATATAACACAAAAAATTTTTTTAATTTTCATAAGATACATTTTTTAATCAAGACATCATTGCGACAACTAATGAGATTAAAACATTTTTGCAATAAAAATAAATACACATGGAGTAAATACACATCAGCAATTCGGCGAACAATTTAATTTTTACGATGAGAACAAATATTTATTTTTATCGTCTCCATTTCCGACTGTAATTAATTAAAATATAAATCTTTCTTTAAAACCAGCTATATTTACGTAAAAAAAATTGTATTTAAATTAAAAATGAAAGACTGAGAGAATCAACAACGAATGGTGATCAAATAATTGCTTTAATTTAATTGCGTTATAACGCGTAGTGCTTTATATTTTCATTTAAAAAATATTTTATTAGTTAGAATAATTAATATTTGATACGAGATATGAATTTTCCGAGTGTTCGTTCATTAATAAAATTATTATATTACGACTGAAATTCAATATTTGCAAATAATACATTTTATCTTCTACGTTAGTAAAAAATAAAAGTTAGGAGAATATTTTTGTCTACTGATATATTCGACCCGTACGTAGACAGGTAGAATAATTAGAGATATTTCACAAATTATACGCGATTATCGATGTCGCGATATGACGCACTGTGTTTTATGTATAAAACCTCCTTTTCTTTTCCTGACTTCCTGCCGGCTTCGTGCCTGAAAATTGTTCTACACTATGTATAAAGCTTTACACACAAGTCGTATCGATCAGCCTCGAGTGTGACAATATCAGTGAGCAGAGCGGCGGATACTATTCGTGTCTACGTGTGTAATCTACATTTTTTGTCTTGCTATTAACAGATGAAATATCCGTTTAAATTAACACGTCATTCTTTCCCATATCCATCTGTTTCGCACTTTTAATTCAATACAATTTATTTAAGACAATAGTTTATATAATTTTGAATGTTATATAGATTACGGTTTGCACTACTTAATTATATTATACCAGTCGACGATTTTGTGAAATAGATAAATTTAGTTGACTCTTACGTATTTTTTTATGCTGATTATTCTGAAAATAAGGTTAGAACTTATTCTAGATAATGTAATTTTTTTTAACCGACATATTTTTGTTTAAAAACTTACATTTAACTAATAATAGCTCGTCGTACAGAATTTTTTTCTTAATTAAATTAGACAAACAAAAATTAAGCAATTAAAAGAAATAATCCTATTTTCGACCAAAGCAGATCTGATCTTAGTCAGAAATTTAAGCACTAAAATCCGCTTTAACTAAAAAATAGATATAAAATAAGATTATTTCTTTCAATTAATTAATTTTGTTTTCATTAGAAGCTGGTTAACGAATAGAAAATCATGTTAAATTCAGTAGCTATTCCCTTTGAATGCTTTTTAAATGCATATTACTCAAAAATTCTGCCCTCATAAATTTGACAAACTTTGAAATCAACCCAAAAAATACTATAAAAAATATCCTACTAGATTAACATAAAAAAAGTAAAATTTTGTCGACTAGTATTATAAGAAAATAAATAGAATTACAAATGCACCTATAAAAGTTAATAATATACGTTCACATATACAAATTGAAACTTTGTAGTGCAGGAAATATATACATACTCGTATACTTCATATCATTTTTTCAAACATTCATAATTCACACACTAATCAGAGTGACCCATATATGACATACTATTTTTAAAATTAATATTTAAAAAAACTACAAAGAAATATGGTACGTTACTTTGATCTGGAAATTTCAAAGATAGCCGATTATTTTTACGGTCTACTTTCATCCTACTACCAGAGACGAATGAGGCCCGAGTATATTACTTTGCGCGCGATGTCCTTGCGAGCGTAAAGTTCGAGAAAACAAAATAATCCAAAGTTGTTGGCCGGAAAAATTTTTTTAAATGTCCTTCATTTTACACGGTCATCTCGATTATAAATATTTATGATGTGAGAGACCTAACCATTTGCTTGCTTTATACACGAACTTATAACGCATGAAATTATATCGCTAGTATTGTTAGATATTTTCTTGAATGACTGCATTGTTGCATAAATTAGATCAATTTTCGTGGTAATTCTTTCCGCGGAAGAAGATTAACTGCCACCATAATAAGATTAATGACCGGCATAGAATACTCGGAGGTATAGAAAGAGCAACTCTGCGATAGGCTAAAGTTGCTTTAACCGCGAACTGCCTAGGTACAAGATATTTTTAGGCCGCAGTTCAAACGCCTCCCCAAATAACCAGTCAAAACAAGTCCATTAATATATAGTCGACGGTTACTCCGGTTTATCTTTTATGCATAAGTACATCCTTCGTCAGATTATTCCCACGTATTCATTTTCGAACTTATTTCAAGCTAAGGTAATAATTTCATAAGGTAATCATTTTGTCCAGTCATCAACTACTGTCCACCTCTAATCTTATTATATTATAGTAAAATTTTCAAGATATCTCGAAACTTATTGCACTAAGGTGGGATCAAAGTACATATACTTTTTTTTCCAAAGGAGTGAAATTTTGTTCCAAAGGTCAAACAATGGTTACTTTCAATTGCAAGTCCAAATAGCTACTCTCTAACGTGAAACTCACGGTAGTTTATTTATTAAGGGAATCATAAAGTAGCGGCACATTAAAAATGGAGATACAGAGTCACAGCAGCATAAGAATCGCACGGCAGTTACTCTTCACGAAGGACTCGGATAAATTACCGCAAAGCTGGAGAGATAAAGCTTGAAATATTCTGGACAATCTCAATTCCGTTGCAGAATGTATACAGGGTATCTCAGAATTATTGCACTTGCTCCGCCTGAGCTAGGAGTACCGAAATTTCGAGCTAGAGGAAATGGCGATTGCTACAAAATTACATGAATAATCTTCATAAGACCTGCTTTTATTCTCAATTTCAACAAAAATTAAAATTAATTAAGAACAAGACTCAAACATTTCTAAACTAAAATGGCTATAATTTTGAGAGTTAAAATAAGAATAGAATCATATAATCGTAACTTTTTTATTTTAAATTAAATTCTTAATTTTAACAAAAAATAAAATTAATTAGAAAAGCTGTAATTTTTTAAGATTCAAACAAAAATAGAATAATACAATTCTATCCCTTAACTTTAAATTAATCGTAATAAATAATAATCAAAGTCTTGTAATAATCAATTTTTGTTTGCCATAGAAACTGACAATAACTTCACGTTTTTCTCTTTCACAAAAATAGAAAGCTCGCCCAGTAGAGACAGGTGTAACATTTTTTAAATATCCCGCATATATGGTACTCTTATCTTGGTCGATTATAACGTTTTCAACTTTGCTTCGTGTTGCCTAATAAACTTGAAACACGTGGATACTCAGCGAGAAATGTTCGGGCGAACATAAACTTCAGTAGAATCGTTACGAAAGAATTTCGGCCGAGTGCACGCAAGAGTGTAAACTTCACAACTGTGCTAACGTCTGTTCTCCCAAGATTTCGCGAGCGAAACTTTGCACGACCATCGCCGCATCTAGGCTATCCGTTATCTTTCGCATCGGTCGTTTCGCAAAGATTTTTTTCTCTTCCGGTATGTCGGAATGTCTCTGTGTGCTCTGACTCACGGCATACAGCGCGATATTTAATTCCCGTCGGAGACTACACACATAGATAATCACGAACAATAATGATAAGCCGTCTTTTGCAGCTTGCTTACTGCACCTCTTAAAATGTAAGAGGTTCAACACATAAGACAAGAATAATATTTGTGTTTCACGAAAGCAAATTGAATTAACTGGAAACTAATATTAATTTCAAAATTGAAATAAAAGAAAATTAGTAGATTCTAATATAAAAAACAATTTTTGTTTAGTAAACTTCTATTAAAAATATGACTAGACCTAAAATAAGAAAAAATAATTACTTCAAAATATAATACTGCAATATAAAATAGCTTTAACCTCGAAATCTAATTTGAGATAGTTGCCAATTAATGTTAACGCAGATTTATTTAAACACGAAAGACGTATGTTATTTGGCGCATTAGCCAAATCCAAAATATTCCGAAATAAATCCGAAATAATTTTCACTTACCTTAACCATCTGGAGGATCTCCGCACACTTGATTCTAACGTTCTGGAAGGGACAATTAACGCTGAGCCTCAATATCACCGGCAGATGCAACGTCACCAGGCTGAGATACTTGTTAGCCTGTGCTTGTCTGGGTCCGTCCAAGGCGTTACCAAGATTCAGCATCCTGCCGACGTCGCCGGGTGTCACTTCAGGGCTCTCGAGCACTCGGCCGCTCTTCGAAGACACGTCCTCGTCCTGCGAGAGCGGCCGTTTGATCTGACCGGCACTAAACTTCCTCTCATCGTTCTTGCGCAAATAGTCTTGCTGCGTCCGGCGAGAATCCTCCGGTATATCATCATAGACCGCTGTCTCGCGGTTCTCCAAGTTCATATCCTGATGGTAGAAAGGTGGTAGATCGTTCTCGTTTTCGAAACCGTCGAGAGTGTTAAAGACAACCCCGTCGCTGCGCGCCGCCTCGCTGTCATTGAAAGAGACGTCGTCGTCGGTGCCGGCGTCGTAGTATCGGCGCTGTTCGTGCGTTAGCAGGTCGCCGCTGGCGACAATCTTGGCTCGGCGATTCAGATTCCGACAGTCGAATGACGCGAGGCCGCTCAGGTTGTCATCGAACTTCGGACTTTTGCCGTACACTCGGGTATCCGCATCAAGCTCATCATCTTCCAGCTGCTTCTGCTTAGCGCCCTTCACCTTCACGTAATTGTTCTTCGTCCTGCCAGAGCAATAGTCATCGCTTGTCGATCTGTCGCTCGACGATGAACCAGGATGCTTCCTCTCGGTCTCGCTGTTCGAGCCGAAGCGCGGGCATCTGCCTTCGATATTGAAACTCTTACTACCCTCGTCTGAAGACGTCGAATGACCGGACCTGCAACTCTCGACGCCGTCGCCGCTGGCGTATCGCTCGCGAAATCGCCTTTCGTTCAAAAGACGACCATCCACGCAGTCGAACGAGCATTCCGGATTGTTCTCCTCGAGGAACGAAAGTGGATTGTCATTGATGCTTTGCGGAAAGAAGCCTTCCGTCCGGAACGTGTCGTGCAACAGCTGCTGCTGCTGCTGCTGCTGCTGCTGCTGCAGCACGCTTCTCGGCGACGATCTCGTCGGCGACCGTTCGATGCTCATATCGTATCTTCAACCAAACACGAATATTATCGATTAGAGGTCAATAACGGGAGTATGCACGTGTCTTGCTTATAAATCTTTTGAGAAGACGCTATTTTTCTCGTTACTGAATAAGCCGTAATAGCAGCAATCATTTACAAAGTAATTTGAAATGACCTCGTTCAATGATGAGTTATGAACAATAAAATCAAACGAAGATAAATTACTGCTCGTTTTCATAAAATCACTATTGTAATAAAATCCACTATTCCAGGTTTATCATGATAAACAGCAATCATCTCTGATCATCGCGAAACATTTCTATTCGTACGTAACTTTTTCAATACAATTATTTTTAATTATGTCCATTTGTACGATTTCTAACGTTATGTAATCTATTATCAATTTTTCCTTAATATTATTTAAAAGTTAAAACCATCCTGCCAGAAATGCTCTGTAATTTTAGTAAGTTGAAACGGAAACAAAGTGTATAAATTTTATAAAAAAAAAAGCTGCAGGAAACCATCGCAACATTTGGTCCTTGTAGTTACGCTTAAATGAATATAATACTATTCCGCTTGTTATTAATCCTGATAACGTGCACATTTTAATGAACCGCCGTGATTATTTAAATACCGCGTTCGCATCGGATTTTATATGTTTGCGTGACTGAATGCTGATATTAAATCCAGGACCAATAATTTGCCGAGAGAGCATGGAACAAAATGTTTACTCCGATTAAATATGTCCGCTCGATCGAAATTATGATACGCGAAACGAGATTTTAGGAAGTATTTATTACACAATATATCGCATATATTATTTGTTATTTGATAACCGTTAATTGATTAATTGTTAATCAATGGTCCAGGTAATTGATACCGGTAAACAAGCTGGTTCAACAAATTGTATAATTTTAATGCTCTTTAGCGTGATGCCCGTATTTATTCAATAAAACGGAAAATAAAATGTTTATCGTAACATATCAATTAAATCTAAACATGTAACAAATGAATAACAGCGAATGTTTAACGGCGTTTACATAATTTCAAGATTAGAGATCGCTTTATGTGATCACGATTAAAATACTACGATTTAACACTGCCCGATCAAATCAATAATTATTATCAACAAGAATATGTAAGTTTTTTTTAAAAAACATTGAAATTCAATAAAAAAAATAAGCAGAAATTAATCAAATTATAATAAATTAATCTAGAGGTCGCTATATGTAATTAAATCAAATAAATAAAGGAAAAAAAACGAACAGGGCTAGATTTTGATAACTAATAATTTTTATATATAAATTCTAAATCATTTGTCAATTATATGAACTGCCCCGCCGGTTACTGTCGGTTACTTGAAGTGCAATCATATAAAGCTGAAATAATATTATAATTAAATCACACGTCGATTTGATAAAGATGCAATTAGCATCTTAAAAATTCGACAGATAATAAGCGGCGCGCAGTATGTAAACTGGAAAATGAAATTGACGTAAAAATATTAGGCCAAGATCTAGCCTCGACCATATCGATCCTTAACTTATTTATTTGATTCAATCAAATTAATTATCCACTTGCACATCAAATTAATTATCAATTTGATATAATTATGTAAATAAAATTCGCATTACTTTCATAAAAAAAATCAAATCTCATTACTCTACAATGATAGACACTCACCTTCCGTCCTGAGAACTGGAAAATTTCCCACTCGCGGTCTTGATGTCCTCGATGTCGCCGGCGTCCTCCCAGCGATTTGGGCTGCTGACGCCACCCAGCCATCCTTCGACGGTGGTCCTGGCCGCGGCCAGGGCGATGTTCCTTGCCGCTTCGTCTCTGGCGCAGAGCGGCGCCAGGAATCTACTGACGAGCTCGACTTCGTCGCCCTTGGTAGAGGCGCCGCTGCCCGACGAACTGCTCGGTTCTCGGTACATCTCTCTTTTCCTGTATCGTCGCGCACGTTGTTTTCCTTCTACCCGATCCTTGCGAAATCCTTCTTTCGTCTTTGAAAGCAATCGCACGGAGTATCGAGGCGCCCGGGCGCTCGGCTCGATTCCCAGGATAAACAGTGTGCGATGGACCAGCGGGATATCTACACTTTTCTTCCTTCCAATTCGCCTTTTCTCTTTTTCGCAGAGAGACGGTACCTTCGCCTATTTTGCGAGCTCGTCGAGCAATCTTCCTTCGAAACAGCGACTGTAATCGTCAACTGTAAGAGGAAATAGTACCATCAAAAGACCTGTTTATTTTAATCTCGATTGCGAGGATCGCTCGCAATGTTAGTTAACGTGCACTGTTAGATATCAAAGGAGCAACGGTAAGCCAATCCTTTAAATTAAATAACATTTTTTTATTTTTAATACTTCCATGTATATCAAAATGTAAATCAATACATTTCTATGGAATAATTTTAAAGTAAGTAACGAATTTTATTAACCTATGCACCCAGTAATAAACTATAATTAATAAATTAAATTAATAAAATCTAATTTAACACATTTGTTTGAATTAAATTATTTAACTCCATTGTTTTAGTTAAATTAACGATATATTGAATAGGAGAAGTGGTGACCTTTAGAAACAATTACAAATAACTCAAATTGAATATATTGTAATTTGACAATGTGAATTCAACAGTGCGGACTCATCTCGACTCATTGTTCTGTGTCTAAAAGCGAAACGCAACACAAACGAGAACACGATCAATCGCTAATTACGATTATTCTGTTCGAATAATTTTCTCTTTAATTAAAATTCTCTGTATCTCTTTTATACGTAATTTTTTACGAAAATAAGTATGGTATAATCACATTCGTTTCAAATCTTGTTCTTATCTGAATTTTTTAAACCGATAATGAAATCGTCGCGATAATCTCTCTATCGAACGAATAGTCATTCTAACATCACGTCTTCGCCGAATCGATCGTTCGACTCGATCGATTGTGTTGGTCGATTAAACGGCACTCCCGATGTTCGCGTTTCCCGAGGTTCTTTCCTTCTCTAAGCAGCAAAGAAAGAAAGGGGGCGAAGGAAAAAAGGAAGGCAGCGTGCGAGAGTAGATCGCGCGCGCGGTACTATCCTCGCGTAATTACGCTCGTTTCATCGCGTTTCGCCGTGAGAGAATCGGCCGTAAAACTCGTTTCTCGGAGGATTTTACCGAGGCGAGGTGCACCTCGGGATACGTTTCAGGGCGATAGAAAGTAGGCAGGAGGCGTCGGCTGCCGCGTCGAGGCGATCTATCGAGATTCGAGTTCAGGGAGGGCAAGACGATGGGAATAGAGGACGATTCTCTGACGTACCTTCCACAGAGAAAACGATCGACCGAGAGAACGTTTTAGCCTGATCGGATGCGATCGCAATGCGTCTCTCCTCTTCTTTCTTCTATTTCTCTACCTTTTATATAGTGCTCATCTTTTTCTCTTTCTCTTCTATCTCCTCTTCTCTTTACTTTACTATCACGGTTTCTATTATACAGTTTGTTTCTTGCTTTTTTTTCTGTATCAACGTAATCAGTAATCACTAACCGAGAATCACATTTTCCTTTACATTATTATCGCACACGTTATTTTACCGAGCTTTCCGCAAAATTTTCTAAATGATTTTCCGAATGATAGTCTACTTTCTTCCAAGGATGTTACTTTAGTCCATGAAGCACCTGAAAGTAAAAGAAACAAAATTATTAAAAATATAGAATAAATTGTAAAGAAAATACTTCTGACCGCCATCACACAGAAAAATATCATTCAATTGCTATGAAACGTGATTATGGGATTTACTTTCTTTCTTTTAAGTAACAATTATCTTTAATGAAAAATATTTTCTTCTTAATAATATTGCAATACTTATTACAAATTTGAAAAAACTCATTAATATGTACTAAAAGCCAGAATTTTCTTTTAGAAAGAATATTACAAAATTGATAGAAGAAGCAACTTTATATAACAAGCAAATCGAATTTGTTTTAATTTAATAATGATTGAAGTATTAAACTTATGTAACTATTACATAAAAAGAATAGTTTTTCTAAAGTAAAAATTTAGCTAAATGCAGATCTAAAAATAATTTTATTGGACCATTAAAATAATTATATAGAATGCTCGAACGGATTGGTAGAATGTTAAAACTTTATACAGCATTACTCATTATGCTTGAGATTCCTACGCAATTATTTTGATGATTCAACGAAATTATTTTCAAATGTATACTTAGTTACATTTTCAGATACTTCAGCAAAATCGTTCTTACCGTGCAGGATTCAAAATATATTCTTAAAAAATTCGATGTTTATAAACTTTTACAATAAATTTGCGGATATATAGACTTTTGAAATCTTGAAACAAGTAATTATTATTTGCGTACAACAATAGTATTTTTCTGTGTGCAGTTAAGACAAAGGAAAATCTTCTTTATAGATAAAATCATTTTCCTTCAACAGATTCTGTCCTCTATAAAACAAACGTGGGTGAAACTCAGAAAGTATTGTCGCATTAAGGCGAAATGATCGACATCGATCAGAGAAAGAGGAAATGAAATTGCACGCGGCAAAAAGACAGATTATGACGCGGCAAAAGCGAACATTTCGCCGAGTGATACCATCGTGACCGTATTGAACTTCAATTTACCACCGCGTAACGTACCTCGATCGATCTTACGCTCTTACGCCGGATGGATGTAATACGTTAGCGACATAAGAGGCCACCTCTAATAGGGAAACACTTTTCAACGGTACGGTAATAACTGGCGGATTATCGTTCGACTGAGCATTATGCAATGGTAATGCAGTACCCGTAATTCCTGAACCTTGAGGAAATCAGTATTTAGCTGTGTAATTGACTCTTTCGTAATTACTCACTTTCATGATCTATAAAATGGACTAACTTCAACATCAATTTAATTTACAATTACTGCCACAAATACGAAAAATTATTTATGCGGCGTGCGATACTTAATCATACGTGACACGTGTCTGAAATTATGATAGAAGTAAGCAGTTTTTTCAGCGTCAAGATTTATAATCCGCTTCGTTAGCATCGCTGAATAACGTCCGATTATTCCAAGTGATCAGCTGACTTAACAGTTTACAAGTAATAATATGCTGAGTGTCCTAATCGCACGTAGGATGTGATAATCTTTCGCGATGTAAGTTAAAAATTGCATCACGACTAATTAATTATCATTTACGGATTACATAAGATTATGCGATTAATCAATATCACAGTTCAGATAGTTTACAATTTGATTGATCGATTGTCATGAGAGAAAGTCTGGGTCAAGGTTCCGAGGTCAGGAAATAAGAAAGGTCGCGTCAGGGTAGCAATTTATCGAGGGATCACGAAGGAATGAAATATCGAAAGGAATAATAAGAAATACACTCTTACGTGGATAAGAGAATCAATACGGTAATAATACGTTCAGTTAAGCTTGCGATGTAGTAATGTAATATAAAAGATCTATCGCTAATATGTATACGATACAAGCGTAAAAGTGAGAAAGAAATTCGTTTCGGTCTCACGGTGCATTAGCGCGATTGCGCAAACACATTCACGCGTTTATTTCATATACGCGCGTTTTCTTATTGCGTAAGTCGTGGAAAAGCCTCGGACGAGTTGTAAGTTGTAATACTCGCGGCGATATGCCGTTAGAGAATCTCTGTAAAAAGAAAACGGTTTCTAACGTTGTTTCTATTTTTTTAAAACTTATGTTCACTTTCTTGTTTCCGATATGGAATTGTTAATTGACACCAGATCCACCGAGCTCCTTTTTGCCAAATCAATAAATAAGCGGATCAATAATACGCGTTACAGTTATCCCACGCGTATTGCAGAGATAATATGTCGATCAGCTAACGGAATTTTTTTCAAATCTTCCGCCATCCAGGACATATATACATATGTTAACGTGTGATTTTTGCAAACCTGTTATTGCATGATTAATGATGGTCTCAAGGTAACACTTAGGTCAAAGTATAACCTACACAGAGTAACACTTTGCATTTAGGTTTTGATATTAACACTGCACTCTTACCGCGATCAGCGGCAGTTGATTATAGCCTTTACCGCAAGACTCACCGAATCACATACGGGAAACTTTCACAAAAAGTATACTACAAAGTCATTTTTGCAACCGGTAATAAATGTAAAATATCACAATTTATGCGAATGGAAAGAATATAATTTTCTAAATTTGATCGTTCAGTTGTACGTATCCTATTTATCTCATTAATAAGTTCATTTTTATATGAGAATAATGTTTAAAATATCAGAAAATATAAAGGTTATTTTTTTATAAAGATAGATATTAATATTTCATTATTTGTTCTAAAAGTAAAGGAGGCAGATTAAAAGAATTTAAAATTGTCATTGAGTTTTGAAAACTAGTCAATTCCGTTTAGCCTGTTTATCAAGTTAGACGTAAAAGTTATACACATATGCATACCTCAAAGATATATATTTAAGCGACTATTGTAAAAAACCCATTCAATATGTAAATTCACATACATATGTATTCGATACACACATATCCCCACACACGCACGCACACACACACACACACACACATGTGCGTGTGTGTGTATAAGTAATTTAATTGACACATAATTGCTTCACTTTTATATAATCAAGAAAATAATGGACTTAATTAAAAGCAGTCTAAACATGAATAAAAAGCTAAATTTAAAAAACACGGGATAATATTTTTTTCAAAAACAAAAGATTGTAAATAATGGTTTTCGCGCGTTGATGAAAAACAAAAGCCAGTTCAAAACTGCCGATAGTACGATAATAACAGTATTGCATTCCTTTTTGCCGCGTATATAAAGTAAGAGAATAATTGCAACAATTATTGTATTTATTCGAGTAATCGTTCTATTCGTGGAAATTAACAGGAAGCTGCAAGGTAATCGTTTGCCATCAATAATCAGTAGGTAACGTAATTTTACTCAAAAACTTATTTATAAAGAAATTAATGAGATAATTAATGGATTAATGAAATGCTACTTATATTGTTCTTCCATTAACTACTCTGGACGAAAATGCATCAATTCATAATTAAGAATTTTTTTACACTTTCTTTATATTTACTTATAAGGTTGCAAGGTGTTAAGACAACTAAATTATTTTAATGTAAAAAAAAATGAAATTTAATGTTAAATAATCTTATTTAAAAACGTAATTAAATGATAAAATGAATCGAAGACGAGCAAACTACTGGATGTTTAATTAATAATAATACAAATTTAATACGTTTCAATTAAAAACTAACTAAACTAACAAAAGTGAGACTAACGACGCTGACTAACGATAGCGTGACCTCAGAGTGTGCTCATTTCTTCGAAAATAATTCCAAATAATTCCCTCCCTTAACTCTGATTCGTCTATCTCCTCGCTTGCAGTCTTTCGTCTCGTTTCGCCTCCGTTCTTACGGACGCGCGCGATCTTCGCGATCTAAATATTTATAACGCCCAGAAGCCTAAACCCGCCACTCCATGCGCGCGCTTTGTTGAATTATTAATGTCGCGACTGCCGTGCTACCGCATGCCCGTGCTCGCGAGTCCACTGTGCATTCACGATATACCGTATACTTTGTCTTTCGGGATATAAGGATGGTCAGGGCACGTCGGAGAACGTGTGAGGTGATAAAACGGTCGCACGCAGCGCGATTCGACTCGACTCGCTCAAGCGAATTAAATGGAACGAAACAGAAGCGGATTAACTAAGCGGAATAATAAACACCATTGTAATTTCATATAAGAATTTACCTCGCGCCGTCGAGGAACATATTTTACGATCGGATCGATCACCGAGATGCGTACACGACCGCAAGATCATCTTCTCTCTTTGGTAATGATCGCTTATTTGCGAGCCTCGCGACGCCAACGTCGCAGATGAAATTAACTCGTGAGATGCATACGAGTAATAATGCATGCACTCGCTCTTTCTTCGTTGTGAGTTTCCCCACAAGATTACCATATACACAGGATAAAGATTTTCCACGTTCTCTCTCATCTATGAATATTACGATCAATATAAGATACAATAATCTTTAAGTTGCATAGAAGCGGATCTATTACATACTCTTCGATACAAAACTCACATTCTATTTTTGTTTCTCTTTTTCCACTTATATTTGCACTCTTTTTCCATACACTGAAAAAAATTGTATACTAAATTTTAATAAATTTATTTATTTGAATATTATAATTCTAAATAAATGTCAACTAAATAAATATTTATTTAGTATCATTGATTTAATTCATTTTTTATTAAATAAATATTTATTTATTCTAAGTAAATATTTAATAAGTACTATTTTTTTTTTAATATTTATCAAGATTTAGTAAAGTAGAACTAATTTTATTCTCAAGTATCATTATCACTGTGGTAGGGGATACTAATGCTCGAGAATAAAGACGTTCAGATCGCTGACACTGAACATTCTACACTCAGAGAAAACTTTAGTTTTGACAACTACTAAATTGACAACTCTAATAATTTAAGTACTTGCAACTAGTCTTACAAAGTAATAAGAACTGAAATAGTACTGAATACTACAGTATTATCTTTATAATACTATATCTTTATAATACTATACTATATTTTTATAGTATTCGGTACTACTTTAGTTCTTATTGCTGTTTAAAACTAGTTGCAAGTATTT